TATCACACAAAAACTCATTGTTAGCACTACCCACAGTTCAAAACCGAACACGCAGCCCACAAACACAAGACTCGGAGAAAAGCCAGTTCTCTGGGTATCCAGAAGGGCTAGCTACTTCCACCACTGTCCTCTCCACACAAACCCCACCCATGCAGTTCACTTCTCCATCACACCCTGGAGGTGGGTATCTGACTGAAGGGACCTAACCGCAAAGATGACTAGAAAAGTCCACGTTTTGGCTTCTATCTTAGGCAAGGGAGACACAAACTTCTCCATATATTAGAAACATAATGTCTGAGTGGCATCATGCCCATGTGTAGCGAGATTAACAGAACTTCTTGGAATACCCTTGATATCCAGGCTGGCATCAGGAAGGACTGGGAGGAAAATGATCTCCTCTCTCTAGCCTTCCCACCCCCTCACCACCGTTGCCCTGTAATGTGGCTTCTAACACTTGCATGATTCCAGAACACTTGATCAAGCAGAAAATATATTCTTTCATTATGTTCCTGGTGATCCATCAATAACAAGACTAGTTCAATGACAAGCGGGAAGAGAACCTTCTCTTTTTCCAAATGTCATGGACTGAGGCCACTGACCTTCTTGAAATTTGTGATTTCTGCACCATCCCGACTCCTTGGTGAGATTAAAAATGAGAACAGTGTCTGGTGTGAAATGTCTCAAGGCTGGAATCTGCCCAGTGATTAGCTTTAGGGCCTTAAGTCTCAAAGACACCGAGTTATTTTGAGTAGGCTGTTTACCTTGATGTGAGCAGAATTAGCCTTAGACACTAAGCCTTTATGGCAAGTTTTATTGTCCAAGGCAAATATAACCTGTTAAGATTTACAGGCTTTATTAACAGCAATAACCATTTTACTGCCAACATCAGTAAATCAGGGTTTATTGAGAACTCTACAATTTTAATCTGTGGAAAACCATTAAAATGTCGGATTTTCATTGGACATAATTTCTAACTTTTATGAAAGATAGATTTTCCATTTAATTGGAGAATATAAAAAAGTGCACCGTGGGATAATGAATTGTTTTGAAAAGAGAAAATTGGTTTTAGCTAAACAACAAGTGTCAAACACTAAAGTTGCTATCTTCAGTTAGAACTGTCCCGAGATTAAAGTTAAAAGTAAGTGTAGATAGGGAACCAGCAGTTAGCGTAATGGCTATGTCGCTGGACTCCCACGTAGTCGACCGCAGTTCGCATCCTGGACCCAGTGGCTTAAAACTCACGCCGGGCGCGTGTGTGTGCATGCCCAAGATCCGGAGAGGAGAATGGAGGAGAAGGGACTGCGGTGTGACCATCCCCCCTGGGGGGGTGATTTCTCGCTTTCTGTCTCTATGTCTCTCTCTGTCTGTCTGGCGAGCGCATGCGCCCTATAGCAAAAACCTCTCCAAAAAAAAAAAAAAAAAGTAAGTGTAGATACAAGGGTGTTCTAATACATCAGTTATTAGGATGAGCGCATGCAGTGTAGAAAAGCTGAGTTATTACTAACCCGCATTTTGGATATTTTGTAAAAAAGTATGTGTGCCCTATTGTCTAAACCTGTGCCCTATATCTAAACCTGTGCCTAAAGAAGTCTGGTGAGAACCTTTGAGTTCATATAACATTTTTCAGAAAGTGCTTTAGTGACATTAATATTATTCATAAGACACTCGTGGTGGTAAGTGAGGTGACAAACATTGATAGTAACTGGCCCCCATCAACCACTCAATTCCTCCGTGTCATCGACTACAAGACAGGGAGACAGGAAACTTTTCGGTAAGCATCTTTGTTCTGTGATGAGCTTGAAAGACAAGAAGAGAGGGTACCAGTAGGTAGGGGGAAAGCCCAGGAGCTTGTAAATTCTTACAGCAAATAAACAGTACTACTCAGGCTTTGATCCCAGATCTCCTTGACTCCAAAAGTTATACTTCTTCCCATCCTGCCACTCTGACAGAGTTCAGTTCTGTTTCCACCATTTCCATGACCTAGGAAGACTAACTGAAATGCAGACATCAGTACACACTTACCAGAGAAAATCTGGGGTCCTTCTTGACAGTGTGAGCTGTCAGAGCCATAGGGAAAGCATTAACTAAACTACAGGTTCCTTTGATATAAGTAGAATTTTTTATCTTTCAACCAATGAGTCCCCAACACCTCCCCTAGCCCTAGGACCCACCATTCTGCTCTCTACTTCTATGAGTTCAACTCTTGTGCATTCCACATCACATAGAATTTGTCACCCTACACCTCATTCATTTCACTGGACATAGTATCCTCTGAGTTCATCCACACTTTTACAAATGAAAGATTTTCCTTCTATTTTCCAGTATAAATAGTATTCCATTGTGTACAGATATCATATTTTCTTCATCTATTCACCATTCATGGACAGCTAGGTTGATTCCCTATCTTAGCTATCATGAATAGTGTTCCAAACATGGAAATACACATATTTCTTTGATATACTGATTTCATTCCCAATGATGGGCTTGCTGGATCATATGGTAGTTCTATTTTTAATTTTATGAAGAATATCCAAATGAAATGTCATTGAGGAGTTCATGGAAAAAAAAAACTATGCATGAATTTCCAATTTTCTTTGCACAAAAGAAACTCATCCTTCGCTTCTACTTTACCATGAACTTTCTGAAGTCTTTTTATGCTGTTGTCTATAATGCCTGTACTAATGAACTTCTCATAAAAAATGAACAGAGGTTTGCTTTTCTTTTCATCTTTGTCAGTGCTTGCTATTTTCCATCTTTTTTATAATAGCCATGGGAATAATTATACTGTTGTTTTTGTTTGTTTGTTTGTTTTTGTTCTGGGGATAAAGCAATGAAAAAAATAAACAAAAATTCCCCCCATGAACTAAAATTCCAGTGGGGTAGGCAGAAAATAGCAAAGTTAATGCAGTACACTGACAAGTGAGAAGGAAAATTATAAAGCAGGAAAAATGGGCTCAGAAGCATAGGTGTAGACTGAAGAAGGAAGAGTTTGACAGAGCAGATGATGTACATGCAAACTCTGAAGGAAGAAGAGATAAAATATTTTAACAGCTGGGGCAGAATGTTCCAGCAGAGAGGCCATCACATACGAAAGCTCTGGGGCGGGTGCATGGCTGCTGCATCTGAGGAAGAATGAGGAATTAGTGTGCTGTCAAGGCTGAGGTGCTGAATATCGATAGAAAAGAGAAACTAAGAGTAGGCCCGACTATGTTGGGCTTTGTAGGGCACCATGAAAACAGACTCGTAGCTGAAAACTTTGGAATACTTTGGGAGATTCTGAATAGATTCTTTAAATATGGGTAAAATCTGTGGTAGGTTATTGATCTCAGCCTGATTTTTTTCCTGTCTATAAAATGTTAAAGTTGTGCCAACATTTCAGCTCTCTTACAGTTGTAAAAATTGATTTCCAGACATATAGCATATGTCATATTTTCACAGCCAGATAGCTCATAAAAAATAGGAACTCTGTGCCCATCTCATGGCCTGGTGATTAAGGGAGCCAGATCCCACACGGTCTATTGAGCAGTCTGAATCCTGGGCCTGCTGGTTTGAAAAACATGCTGAGTGCATGTATGTATGTGCCTAAAATCCTGACAGGATGAAGAGATAGAGAAGAAGGGATTATGGCATGACCATATCCCATGGGGGTGGGGTGTGTTTTCCTTCTTTCTCTCTGCCTTTGGTGAATGTAAACCACTTCTGGAAACTAAAAAGAAGAGAGGAGAGGAGAGGAGAGGAGAGGAGAGGAGAGAAATAAATTAACTTTCTTTCCACATCACCCCTCTCTACTGCTGCCAAAGCTGATAGCAGTACCCGGAGCAATGGGGCAGTAGCAGATCAATATCTTTTTCTTGCACATTAAGGAAAAATCTAAAAATAAGCATTTTCTTTTCTAATCATTTTGTATCATGCATGGAGTGTTCACTTTAATTTTCAAGTCCGTTTACTTCATTTCTGTGAACCATTTGAGCTTTGAATAGTGCACACCCAGCGTGCTTTCTGTCTAAATATGCAAGTGTGTGTGTGTGTGTGTTCATTCCCCTTATTTTCTCTCCGCCTTTGTCCTTCCATTACAAAATCCCATAGCAATTTTAACTAAAATGTGAAGCAAAGTATCCTGCCTTTTTTTTTCGTAAGAAAAAAAAAAAAAGCTCTGCTTCTCAGTGAATATATTATACAATGGCTCCAAGGACAGTCTCCCAGCTCCCCTTAGAAGAGCCACAAGCAGACCATCTGCTGCTGAACTCGGGCCTAAGGTTATACATTTATCATTCTATCAAGGATGCCTTGTACTTCCTGGCTTTTCTCCCAACAATAACTATACTATTAGTTTATCAGAACATCTTTTAATAGTGACTAAAAGATTTAAAAGGTCTCTCTGTTACCATGGAGTATTGTCAGTGACAATTATAATAGTATGGTAGAAATTCTAGAAAACGCATTGAGCAAAAACAGTGACTCTGAGTGCTAGACACTTCACTGTGAAGGAGAAGCAACAGGTCAGAGATCCGTGACTTCATCATATTCTTTGTCCCTAATGCCTAAAACATCACAAATGTCCAATCAATGCCTGTTCTACAAACAAAGCATGACTCAACACCAGTGAGATTTGCACTCAGGGCTTTCCTCCTTCTCTGTGTGCCTTCCCATGTGATTCTGCCTGCTAACGCCCACATAGGCTCCACCAGCCAATGTGCACAGTTAAGGTGCTCTGACTCAGGATGGGAGGATGCGCACATGACCCGAGGTCACTAGGAACAAGGACACAGATCCTATCCAGGCCACCCACAAGTACATTGTGTCAACAAGAAAGCAGATGAGAGAAATCATTTTCAAGCCATTTCCTTCTCAATTTTTCCATCACCTTGAGTGACTGGGTTCAGACAGCAAAATATCAGATATGGCTCCCTCCCCTCATCAATGGCCACTCAGGGCTCCATCCTCCTCCTGAGGGGCAGGCTTGGTTCCTCATCACTGATGGACCCAGAAGCCCAGCTTACCTCGGCTGCTGGGACCCCCTCGGGTGGGCGGCAATGCAGCACAATCATGCCTTCGATGGGGACTTCTCTTCCTTGGGGATCTTGTTCAAAGTTTTTCCGCAAATCTGCAAAAAAGCATGAGATCTATGACACTTTGCTCTGGGGCCATTTTATTCACATTTTGTCCAGATACAGCAAAATAGTGAGCCTAATGTCACACAAACAATCTCAGGTTCCAGGGGCTTCAAAATAAAGAGAATTGTTTCTCCAAATGTTCATAAACGGTTTGAAATATACCTTAACAATATTGTTTCTAATGTTCTATATTGATGTGAAGAATTACTGGGGAAGCAGGAAAGAAAAACAACAACAACAACAACAAAAATCTCATTATTTCATGAGTCGTTGCCAGCATTATCTGCTTAGCATCTGATGAAACACTCAGCCTAATAAATTGCCATCCACAGCTATTATGCAGTGGAGATGCACATTTTTTTTTTTAACTGAAGGATGCATTATTAATCCATAACCCCTGTCACTCCCTTACCCCTCTGGGGAGCTCTTGAAGATAGTAATGGAGTGAGATTACTATTAGTCTTTTTATTTGTAACCAGGGAGTAGGGGCAACATTCAACCACAACAAAATCCATAACCTATCCAACCAAATATATAATTTAAAAACACGATGCCCTCCAGTCAAACAGCAATCTGGGTAGTAGTAGTGCCCTTCACGAGGCTCACGGCACTTTGCAAACAAGCTGCACTATTAACCTTTCACACAGGGAAGGGTGACACTTGGAGAGGTTAATTGGCTTGCCAGCAGATGACGGGGAAAGTCCCCAAGCGTCCTGACACCCAGTCTCATGGATAACCAGAAAACCTCCACCGGGAGAAAGACCCACAAGGACAGTTCAGAAAGCCTCATTTGCATCACGTCCTACTCAATCCACCCTGTTTTAAAAAAAGGAGGGGAGGTGGCCTTCATTTCTCTTGAGGGGTGTTAACAATAGGGATCACCTCACAACACAGGGTAATTCTTGTCACTTGAAAGCATGGGAAGCAGAGAAAAGGCAGGTTGTTTACAAGTCTTTCTCCACTTAAAAAAAAAATCCCCCCTCCCTCTCTGACAACGTATTTTTCTTCAAATTGAGTATCTCAAATTACGGGCTGTGGATTTATTGATTTAATTTTCTTCAGTGCTTACAATAACATGAAATATGTTCTCTGTAAAGAGCAGAGCTCCAGAATCAGTTACATCTTTATAAATTGTATAAATACATTAAACTTGCTTTTAGCAAGTCAAAAACACTCAATGAATAACAAGCACAGCAATTCATGTATTCACTTTCCTCTGGATTTCACTCTTAATGCTTTCCCTCCCAGAGACAACCAATGTCTTTTGTCTGGAGCAGCACCATATATCCCGAGGTCTTCAAGAGGACGCATAGACGGCAAAAGGTATCAAGAAGACCTACATGAGAAGCAGGTGGCAGGATTCAGCCTCTCATCCCTCTGCAGCACTCCCTCCCCCCAAGCTGTGAGCTTCCTTCTATTCGAAGTCCAGACATGGCCATGGCCCTTCTGCCTCCAAGTGTGATGAAGGTCTGAGAGTGAACCCCAGAATGAAAATGCACGTTTCCAGCACAGTTCCACAAGTTCTCCTCAGCTGTCCCCAAGGGTTCTCTGAGTCATAACCCCGTCTCCAGATGACTTGGTTACCCTTCAGAGCTTCGCAGTATTGGTCACCCCCAGAATGAAGTGGCTTCAACATAGGCGCTACCAGCTTATCAATGGAGACCCCATGTGCTCTTGTATGGATTTCATTTGGTTTGATTGCCACTTTTTTCTTTATCCTAATCGCTTTGTTTTCTAAAGTCTCAGTGCTGCTCAGTGATGACTGCAGTCTGACAAACGCTAGATCATCTGTATTCAACCGATAAGTACAAAAAAAAAGTGTCTTCTACTTGTAACTTTTTTTTCACAATTGAAAGAGAAAAGGTTATGGATGCTTTGTTTACAGTTATCTTTACACTTCATTGCATTAACTACATTAGCAGGTGAAAAGACAACTAGCACAAAGTCATTTTTCCTCCCCACTTATTGACATGGAGATAAGACAATGGTGTTATTTATTAAGAAAGAATCCCTGAGGAATATCCTGTGGATCCCACACAGGCAGAGTCAGATGGAGGCGAGGAACAAACCAACCCACTGCTCTTTCCAACTGACATTTAAAGCTGCTGGCGAAGTCCCAGTGAGAAGCATAATCACACCCCAATGGGGGAAGAGGATGAAAGGGAACAGGGCGGGGAGCAGTGAGAACAAAAAGGTTGTCATACATGATGCACGAGAGGACTTTGAGAAGTTTGCGGAAAAATGAAATTAAAGTATGAGTTTATTTTGGTGCAAGCAATTTTATTCCCATGCATAGTGCTTTTCATAATATGCTACATCCAGAAATTTCTGGAGACTCCTCACTTCCAGATTCAACAATGGTAAGGACGGTGGTGACAGGTCTTCAAACATTACACCGAGTGTGGGGTCAAAGGGTCACCAGGTCCTGGCCTCTACCTGGTGCTGGTGTTGGGACAGATGCCTAAGGAGGATGAACACGCCAGACACATTCTGATGAGCCTCTGAACATACAGGAAGTTATTAAAATAAACTCTTACACACACAAGTAGAAGCTTCCAACTGGACATACGTGTCTCACCACCAGTCATTCAACTGGATGAATTTCAGCATCTCATTTAAACACTTTTATCACCCATGCTAATTTCAAGGCACGAAAGATTCAGACAGAAAGCCATTCGACTTTTAACAGGATGAAACCATCCCTAGCCATCAAAAAATAATTATAATAAAAATAAGGAGACAAAACAATTGAAATTAAGTGTCTTCCTCTAAAAAGGAGGGGCTTTTTTTTAAGATAATTTCCCATTTAAGTTCTTTAAACTCAAAAGGAAACAGAAACTGAGAATCTAGAGTAAGAAAGTTAAAAATAGGATAACATCTGAGATCAGGAAGCTGCCACGATGAAGGGAAAAACATAACTGCTGAATTAGAAATATGTATATCATGGAGACAGTAAACACCATATTGAGCATTGCAAAAACTGCACCAGCTTAACAGAAGACAGGCATATCAGTCAGAATCCCAGTCAGTAAAGTAGAAAGTACTCCAGCTGCCCCAGCAGAAAATATTTGCTTTTCTTTTTCCATGATAGAGCGTGTGCACACATACGTGCGAATGAGAGAGAAAGCAACTCTCCTCACAGAGTCTGGTCACACTGCGACCCCCCCCCCCCCCCGCCCTTCTCCAATCCACTGGATCTTGCACACTTGTGCGAGTGCTGCTGTATTCCAGGGTGACGGACCGGGATTGAAACCGGGGTCACTGAGTGGGATCTGGTTTCTCTCTCTCATTTTTATTTTTTAAGAATTATTTATTTTGTTTATCATTATTATTATTTCACATGAGTTTTTGCCAGAGAAATACAGGCAGAGAGAGAGAGAGAGAGAGAGTGAGAGCAAACTGCCAGGTCCAGGATTTGAACCGTGGTTGGCCATGTGGGAATTCCAGCACCTTAACCACCACACCACCTGCTGGCCCCAGGGATCTGGTTTCTCTTAAGCATTACTTTAACTCTGTACCTGGGAGCTGGCCAGGAACAGAAAATATTCACAGAAGTGCAGAACTGAAAAGGCCAAGGGCAGGTGGCAGATCCTACCTTAGGGATAGTGAGTGGGAGATGCTGGGTCATTAGAACTGTGAAGCCTGGGGACAGATGAGGGCACAGTGGTGAGACACGGCACTGCAGGGCTGACTCACATGGCAAGGTTCCAGATTCAATTCAGAGATCTCCACAGAGCATGTGCTTGCCCAAGATGCAGAGCTGGTTGAAGCTGGGGGTGGACTATGGCATCAAGACACTGGGGTGGGGCTGTCTGTGTGTTTCTTTTGCTCATGGGAGGATTACATTATGCATTGTCTTTTGAACTTTGAAGCTCAAAGGGGACCCAAATACGCACAGAGCAGGCCCAGTTGATTTGTGCTGGCATCTCGGGAACGTAGAAGAGTGACCCACAGAGTCGACCCAGAATCCGAGGATGGGCACCTGCCAGCCTGGTGCTGGCATCCCAGGGGCACACAGAGGCATCTGGGGAGTACTTAAAGAACAAGCAGAGGGAACCAGCAGTTAGCGTAATGGCTATGTTGCTGGATTCCCACGTAGTCAACCGCGGTTCGTGTCCCGGACCCGGTGGCTTAGAACTCACGCTGGGCACGTGTGTGTGCGTGCCCAAGATCCCGAGAGGAGAATGGAGGAGAAGGGATTGCGGCGTGACCATCCCCCCTGGGGGGTGATTTCTTGCTTTCTGTCTCTCTGTCTCTGTCTGTCTGGCAAGCACACATGCCCTATAGCAAAAACCTCTCAAAAAAAAAAAAAAAAGAAAAAAAGAAAGAACAAGCTGAAATAAGAAGCACCTTCCATTTCTACGACGAAGTAACTACTGGAGTAGCACCAACAGGGACAGAAAAAGAGCAGAAGCCAGTGTCTCTTCTGGCTCTTCCTTACTCCGGGCTCCTTTTGGTGGAATCTTACAGGGAACTAGGTTTGGCTGAGGAGTCCCAGCCCCGGCCTCTTGAATTACAGTCCAGAGGGCTGACAGGGGAGACGGTCGCCCGGCAGCACCTAGGAGCCACACCTGAGAAATGTCCTCTTCCGGAAGGGCCATTAGAAGCATCAACATTTCCTCCTCACTAGGTCCTCCCTCTGAAGGGGGCTCTCTGCCTGAAGCACGTAGCATGGAGCTGCCAGAGCCTGGTGCCATCCCTGGTACAGGACAGGTCCTCAATAAAAACTAAGAGGGATAAATGAGCAAAGAGGAAAGGCATGAAGTGACAGATTGCCAGAAGATGAAAAACAATGAATGCAATGATAATGTGGAGGTAGAAGATACAAGAGGGACGGGTAAAGGACACAAGCAGGAAGAAAATAAACAAAAGCAACTTAATAATGACCATAATCATTCTCTGAGCTGTAAAAAGGTGAGTTTGCAAAACGGTTCATTGGCTATGAAGCATTGTTTTAAACAGAAAACAAAAATCAAGACTTATTCTGGTT